ATAACTTTATAGAGTAACTCTTTTTGATAACGTTTTAGTTACAACATTCAACATAACTGTCTCCCAGTTGGTCAGGGGAGTTTACCGACTTATAACCTTAAACTCCGGGGTTCGATTCCCTTTGGTGGACAGAGCACATATAACTTATTGTGTAACTTTGCACTAATAACAAACAAAGCAACACTCTACTTGAAAGCGTTTTAGGTACAACAAGCTACATATCTTTATAGTATAATTATTCTTTTGTGTAGAGTATTGTTATTACAGTATTTTTACAGTGTATTAGTTTCAACATATAGCATTATTTTACAGCATAATCATTTTATTTTTTACAGTGTTGTAGCTGTAACTCGTATCAGAATTTACCGTAGAATTGTTCTCTTCTATTTATTGTTTCACTTATAACACATAACACCGGCACCTTTGTAATGTAATTCTCCTCATCAGTACGTTGTTTCAGTTACAACTGCCAGTACAGTTATAATTCATTGTTTCATTTATAACTGCCAACACAGGTTTACTGTATAATTATTCTCCTTTTTTTACAGTGCTATTTAGATACGACATAATATGCTGAAGAACCATAGAACGTGAACCTACTTTTTTCCACATTGCTTTAGTTGAAGCATGAAAGAGAACTGCTCTATTCAGTAGTGTTTTATTTCCAACAAACATCACAGTTTTATAGTTATAGTTACTGAAACAGACATGAAACATTATTATTCGATACATTAACGAACTCAGGGAGTTACAACTTCGTGGTAGTAGTGAGCGGTATAAAATCAAAATGTTTGTAACGCAAGGTAAGAATAAAGTAATAAATCTTTGTTTGTGACGTAACCTCATATTCCATTCAATGTTCCTGAAGCTACAAAGTGTTTTACTTTCGCAATAGAATCTAGCTATCATATTGATGACGTAGTTCAGTATGTTAATAGTACAACCGTTTTGCTAAAGTAATTCTGTAAGCTCATTTAAGACGTTACTGGCGTAATAACATACACAGTTTGGCTGTTAAAAAAGAAGCTTCCATAAGTTTGTCTTAAAATATATTCATGTACAGACTGACTTTAAAACGAATTCTAGACTCCCGTACATTAAGAATTTCAGAATACTTCTGGAACTATGAATTACTTACTGGTTTGTTAGATTATTATACATTTGGAACTATGAGCTATTGGTTTAGTAGATTATAATACGAAAAAAAGCGGTTGATACATATAGTAACATGTAGTACTGGTTTCTTAAACTTTGATAAGTTTATTATTATGGACTGTTGAAACTATTAGTTATTAGTTCATTAGGTTTTGAGACATTTGTGACCAATGACTCTTTGTTTATTAAACTCTGATAAGTTTATTATTATGGACTGCTGAAACTATTAGTTATTAGTTCATTAGGTTTTGAGACATCTGTGACCAATGACTCTTTGTTTATTAAACTTTGATAAGTTTATTATTATGGACTGCTGAAACTATTAGTTATTAGTTCATTAGGTTTTGAGACATCTGTGACCAATGACTCTTTGTTTATTAAACTTTGATGCATCTGGAACTGTAAGCTGTTGTTTTTATAAATTATAATATATTTGAAGGTACGAATTATTTATTTATTAGGCATTGATATTTCTGGAATTGAAGTATTATTTTCTATACAACTTAAACCACTAAATGTATGACCCATTGGTTTACTAGACTTTTATACATCTTAAAGCACTAAAAATATGACCCATTGGTTTACTAGACTTTTATACATGATTTAATGTATAGAGCTTAAAATTTTCGTAAATTGTACTGATATAAACTGATATATATATATATGTTTTCATATATTAAAAGTGGTACCGTTTATTGAAAAATAACAGTTTTTTTTAAAGAACTCCAGGGTCCCAGTACTACATTTAAAAATTACACCAATAAAGATATAATCAAACCCTAATGTGTAGTTCTAGCGAAAGTTGTATTCTTTTTGTAAGGAGAGTACTTTTATTTATGATTGTTTTCTGTTGTAAAGAAATGGTTGTTGAACATACCACAGTTATTTTTCTAAATGTCTGAACCTTGAATAGCCAAAGTATGAAACATTTCATAGATTTTTGTTTGTGGTACCTGCCATTCACTAGATGGCGAATTACATACATAGATACTGACATACATGCCACGTCCATTATAGTAAGATCAGCTATTAAATTAGTATACCTTCATGAGTTTTAACGTACTGGAAATACGAGCTATTGGTTTGTTATACTTTAGTATGCTTTACCTTGATCCAACTACAGAGGTTTGAGCACGTAAAACTGCAACGATTTTGGAGCTCCACCACTTCGTTAAAATTCTTATCGCAACGTCTGGCGAATGGACCTGTAGAATAGGTTCTATTGAATAAATTTCCGTCGTATGGTTGTCTAGTATAAAGCACACTCTGCATGCTTTCTATAAGCCTTTTAGTGTGCGAGGAAAACGGTTTCCCAGCGCCCGTTTCAACAGTCCAATCGCACAGAAATCTCGAGGACATGAACGATACGTCTTCGTATGGAATATCATGAATATCTAGTCTCATTCTCTAGCTGCTTAGGGATGTAAAGGTTGAGCGGGAGGTGTGACTAGAAGCCTGTCGTTCTCGTTTCCAGATGGAGACCCTTCTTGATTATGTTCCCTGGAGTAGGTTTGACGGCTTTTGTAAATGGATTCTCACCTGTTGCAAGATGCAGCACTTTGCTTATCACGGCAAAGTTACCGTTTATTGCAGGTCTCTTTCTGCATGGTCCTGGTTCCCAAAGTTGATCCATGTTCCTTTATTTTCCAATGACATTAAGTAAAAAGCATATCAACGTCTTGGAAGCTATAAATTCTCGATCTGCACATATCTTTATGATTTGAGTGCATGAACATTTTGCGTCGGAAAGAGCTGTTACATACCGTTCCCTAAAACCACCAGTTTTCGGTGGCATCGCACGACTTACGTCTTGTAAATGTAAAAATGTAGTTCTAATACATCTCGTTTCACCACGGTTTTATATCGGAGATGTTTGTCAGATGGCTTGCTGAATTTCATACTCAAACCGTTTTAATATATCGTACTCATTGCCTAAAAGTTTGCCCCCAGTAGTACAGCAGTATGTCTGCGGACTTACAGCGCTAGAAACCGGGTTTCGATACACGTGGTGGGCAGAGCACAGATAGCCCATTGTGTAGCTTTGTGCTTAGCTTCAAAACAAACAAACAAACCTAAAAGTTTAATCAAATATTAAAAAGATCGATGAAATTAAAGAGCAGACACATTTTATTACGTAGTTTCATGGATTCTGCGACAAATACAGCGTAATTTTTTACAGATGTCAGTCAAAATATCTTTATATCAAGTTTAGAGGAGAAAGCATACTACCATGAATATTATATGTTTACAGATAAAAATATGTAAGTAAAAATATGGCAGAGCAGTTGGAGACTCCGAAAACACTTAAAGAACGGTAATATACTATCAAGAAATTACATGTTATATACGGTGGATATAGCCCTCATTTAGTGCCGTCCCTATTAGTATGCATGGTATTGTTAATAAACAAGTTACTCTATCGTACTGTTACAAACACGTTTACCGTCATTCTGTTAGTAAGTAGTATCTATGATAGTTTGTCACCTAATAACGTTAGTGTTAGTACATAATATCAGCATTTTACTGTGAGTAAACAATATGAATATCTTACTGTTTACTTAAAGAAAAACGCTAATATTAACAGTAAGATATTCATATTGTTTACTTAAAGAAAGACGCTGATATTAACAGTAAGATATTCATATTGTTTACTTAAAGAAAGACGCTTATATTAACAGTAAGATATTCATATTGTTTACTTAAAGAAAGACGCTAATATTAACAGTAAGATATTCATATTGTTTACTTAAAGAAAGAACGCTAATATTAACAGTAAGATATTCATATTGTTTACTTAAAGAAAGACGCTAATATTAACAATATAAATATCTTACTGTTAATATTAGCGTTTTTCTTTAAGTAAACAATATGAATACCTTATTGTTAATATTAGTGTTTTTCTTTAAGTAAACAATATGAATATCATACTGTTAATATTAGCGTCTTTCTTTAAGTAAACAATATGTGTATCTTACTGTTAATAAACCGTTTTGCTGTGAGTGAACAATACTGTGAACATTCTGTTATTCTAAAATTATTTTAATCTTTTCGTAAAAATATGTCATTCATCTTATAAGTATATGCGATTTATCCAGTCTTGAATGGATATTCATGGTGTTAAAAAAACACCATAGCGTAGTTTATTATTTAGAAATTAGTATATTGTTTCTTCATTATATAATGTTGGTAGAAACATTACTCCAGGTAGTGCCTTGTCCTATATCTATTCCATTATATATATATGAATAACGAGTCTTATTTTCCTTATTATAACCACGTAGAAAAATGATGCAAAGCAAGCTCTGTTAAAAATAAACCTGCTAAATATCAAAATAAACTCTGTAGTAATATTTTTGATGGAAAGTCTATTCTCGTAAGATATAACATTAAGTTTGCGTCTGGATGCATTACATTTTGGTTAACATCAAGTTAGTGTCTGGTTATCGAAACTTATGAATCAGAAAATAAGGCAAGTTTTAGGGACGGTAAGAAATTCGATTTGATTATTTGTAATGATAACCGAAGAGGTTTTTTGTGATCTAAGGTCTTTCTTCTCAAGTAAACTCACTGAGAAATATTTGCAACTAATCTGTAAGCCTAAAGTAAACCTCAGTACTATCCACTACAATAGAACAAAGTGTTGGTTTTGGATCATATTAATATTTACAGCTGTTTCAACATGTACACTACTAATGAATTGCGACTACACTGCAGCATCACCCGAAAACACCTAACAAGTCACGATGTTTAAATGAAGACGTCGAGTTTTTTAGGTTCTCGTGTAGTTTCTTATTCACTAAACATATACAACATTTGTTTTTGTTCTCTTTTTTAAATGTCCGTACCTTTGGTCAACTGTTAGATTCTTCTCAGTCTTCTAGTCTTGACATGTTATATGCACCATTTCGCTGCAGGCGGACGGACACCTGCCATAGAAGCTGCTAGTCGTTGCCCCTGACAACCGTGTATGCCGCAAGCGCTAGTCGTTGTGAGATGCCCAAACTAATTCTGGCTTGAACTGCGAGTGAAAATCTAACATCCTTTTGATCGTCATGCAACCTCTGTGTTCGTACCCTCCCAACTAGCGTGATTGGCGTGAAAGTGAGCACGTGCTGTTGGCGTGGACGTTGCAAGGACTCATGACGTAACAGAATGGGATTTTAATTAGTGTTCTAGGAGCTCCATTCTTCTGAATTTTTAAAGTCTTTGTTCTTCAATGAGAAATATGAGATAGTATTTTGTAAGTATAAACCCCTGAGTTGAGCAGAACGAATTAATAAAACCGGTGGATCGGCGGTAAACCTGTGAGCTTATAACGCTAAAGATTTGGTTTTGATACTTGCGGTTGGCAGAGCATAGATAACCGTGCGTGTATCGTTGTACTTAATAACAAACACGCAAATGTAATGTTTTTGAATACAGAGAGTTTCAATTATTCTAAAGTTTATCTATTGGAAGATAAGTTACCGTCCTTTCTAATTCTGTCTTCTAACATTGCTGACGTGATGAAAATGAAAGATAGCACTATATGAATTACGCAAAGAACATATTACGTAGGTCATAAAACTGGCATTAAGTCTATATTCAGATCCAAGTATAATAGCTAGCTATCGATTATGAAGTTAATAAATAAACTAAAGAACTGACTTAGTATTGTCTGTATGTTTGGTTAAACACGTAAGCCTTCTCGTGAAGCTGATATGTGAAAGCGTAGCCAGCCTCTCCCTCTACTAGTTAACTCCTAATGCTAAGATGACTTATTTGAATCGTGTAGGCAGAGCAAATAAAGTGTGTAGCTATGAAGAAGGCCATTCAGAGTTTAAATACATATAGACAAGCAAGTACCAAATAAATAAATGTCCCATGTAACATTCAAATGGTAAGCCTCATGCAAAGCTCTGTAAAGGTCATAAAAAGGTTTTGTACAATTATGTCTCAGCTCGTGATTAATTTACGTATTTGGCCTGGCATAGCCAGGTGGTTAGGAGCTCGACTCGCAATCTGCGGGTTGCAGGTTCGAATCCCCGTCCAACCAAACATGCTCGCCTTTTCAGCCGTGGGAGCGTTATAATGTGGCGGTCAATCCAACTATTCGTTGGTAAAAGAGTAGCCCAAAAGATGGCTGTGGGTGGTGATGACTAGCTGCCTTCTCTCTAGTCTTACACTGCTAAATTAAGGACGGCTAGCGCAGATAGCCCTCGTGTAGTTTTGTACGAAATTCAAAACAAACAAACCCTAATTGACGTATTTAATCATTCTGGTTTCTCAGCACTCCACCCCACATGTTTGAAATTAAATAGAATAGCTAAATTAAAAAAAAAGACTAGGCAAAAAGTTTATATTTATCAGTACACAATTTTACAAAGGATCTAAATTCCTATTACAGAAGTTGACAATTTAAAGTGAGTTGTGTGTACTCAGTAAATGTTTTGTTTGTTTCAGAATTTTCGCGCAAAGGTACAGAAAAGGCTACGTACACATAGCCGTTTGCAGTTTTGAACTGATAGGCTAAAAGGGAAGGCAACTAGTCAACAACATTCACCGCCACCTTTGGACTACTTTTATCTGACTAAATAATAGGATTTCAATGTTCGTCTATTAGCGTGCGCACGGCTCCAGATTACGGAACGCGATTTAGTGGCAACAGGTCGCGAACTAAAATCCTCAAATACACAGTCTTGAAAAGTTGACCAACGCAATAGCACTACAACATAAACGGAACACGACTACAGAACAATACAACTTATCAGACCCATTACAGTAGCACAAGTAGAAGAAAACATAATTTTTTTAAAGCCACTGGACAAGACAGAATTCAAAACATATTACTCAAGAAAGGCCCTCTGAGGTTATTAGAATATCTCACATCTTTATACAACTTATCTCTGAAAACAGGATACATACCAACCGCTTGGAAACAGGCTGATGTTCTTGTGTTCCAGAAGGAAGGAAAACCAGTGAATAACCCTGAAAATTACAGACCCATAAGTCTAACAAGCAATCTAGGAAAATTACTTGAAAAAAATCATAAATAGTAGACTCATAAATTACCTTGAAACTAAATCAATACTCCCAGAAATACAAAATGGGTTTCCTAAAGCAAGACAAACAACAGATCATCTCATAAGATTAATGGAAGAAATAATACACAGCTTTAATAAAAACCAATGTACAGTCGCGTGCTTCCTAGATGTTGAAAAAGCATTCGATAAAGAATGGCACAATGGACTCGGATACAAACTGGGACTTCATGCAGAAATTATTCGCCGGGTTTCTAATTTTCTGGAAGATAGGAGCACCAGAGTAAATGTTCAGAGCACCTACTCCGAGTACTTCACTCCGGTGGCGGGTGTCAATCAAGAAAGAGTACTTAGTCCTGCCCTGTTTATCATGTACGTCAGCGAAATGCCTCTCCAAGACCCAAGCAATACTTTTTGCTCACAGTTTGCAGATGATTTTGCAATATACAACAAATACAAAACTATATTTTATCCAAAGCATATCGCATCCGACGATCAACAAACTCAGTATTTCTACACAACTATTTAAATATGCCAACACTAAAAGAAAGACTCCTAGATAACTCGCTTCAATATTATAAGAAAAATATTAATATAAATGAACTGATGAGCTAACTAGAGACTTACATAATACATGATGAACCAAACCTTAAGTACTTTTCCCCTCTAGTATTATAGTTGGTCAAAAGTTTGTTAAACAGTATCAGCTTAGTTTAATTTAATGCTATATAGTATTATAGTAAGTCAAAATAGTGTTATATAGTATTTGACTAGGTCAAAAATGGAGTTATAGTATCAGACTACGTCAAATTGGTATTACACTGTACAAGACTTGATCAAAATGGTGTTATCGTTATATGGTATAAGACTACGTTAGAATGGTATTATATAGTATCAGCTTTAGTAAAAATGGTGTTATATAGTATTATACTAGGTTAAAATAGTGTTATATAGTATTATACTTGGTTAAAATAGTTTTGTATAGTGTGAGACTAGATCGAAATAGTGTTATATAGTATTAGACATGGTCAAAATGATATTATATAGCGTTGGCACAATGCTGAATGAACCTAAATAAACAACCTAGACATTACTTATGGTTTCCACTTTGTGTTGAGTTAGTAATATCTGATAGTTGACATTTTTAATTTGAACATCTAATACAAAATGTAGTCTTTCTGTAACATCAGTAGATGACATAATTTCTCTGTAACGGCCAGTAGGCATTGTAATGTCTGTATAATGACAATTAGTGGATAATGTAAGCTTTCTATAAGAAGTAGATAATGTAACCTCTCTGTAATAATGTAATCTCTGTGTAATAATCAGTAGATAATGTAACCTCTGTGTAATAGTCAGTAGATAATGTAATCTCTGTGTAGTAATCAGTATATAATGTAACCTCTGTGTAATAATCAGTAGATAATGTAACCCCTGTGTAATAATCAGTAGATAATGTAATCTCTGTGTAGTAATCAGTAGATAATGTAACCTCTGTGTAATAATCGGTAGATAATGTAACATCTGTGTAATAATCAGTAGATAATGTAACTTCTGTGTAATAATCAGTAGATAATGTAACCTCTGTGTAATAATCAGTAGATAATATAACCTCTGTGTAATAATCAGTAGATAATGTAACCTCTGTGTATTAATCAGTAGATAAAGTAACTTTTGTGTAATAATCAGTAGATAATGTAACCTCTGTGTAATAATCAGTAGATAATGTAACTTCTGTGAAATAATCAGTAGATAATGTAATATCTGTGTAATAATCAGTATATAATGTAATCTCTGTGTAATAATCAGTAGATAATATAACCTCTGTGTAATAATCAGTAGATAATGTAATCTCTGTGTAGTAATCAGTAGATAATGTAACCTCTGTGTAATAATCGGTAGATAATGTAACCTCTGTGTAATAATCAGTAGATAATGTAACCTCTGTGTAATAATCAGTAGATAATGTAACCTCTGTGTAATAATCAGTAGATAATGTAACCTCTCCATAATAATCAGTAGATAATGTAATCTCTTTGTAATAATCAGAAGATAATGTTATCTCTTTGTAATAATCAGTAGATAATGTAATCTCTTTGTAATAATCAGTAGAAAATGTAAACTCATTGAAACAATCTGTAGGTAATGCAATCCCTGTGTAATAATCACAAGATAATGTAAACTCACTGTGACAATCAGTAGATAATGTAATCTCGGTGTAACGCTCATTTGTAATGTAACCTCGGTGTAACGCTCATTTGTAATGAACCTCTGTATAAAAATCAATAGGTGGTTATGAAATCTTTCGGTAACAAAGAGTCAAGAGTTAGATGCTCATATTTTAGAGGTGTAAGAATTATTATTATATTTTATTGAATTAGATTATTTTATAAAGACGATACATTTTTGGTACATATAATACACTGTAATGAATAAAACATAATATCGAAAATAAACTTAGCTGAACCGTACAATCATGACTTAGATCCTTCATTACTTACACAAAGAATAATAAACTTATGATGAGCAATTGCTTTGACGTAGCCGCCGACGTTAGATGTTGTAAGTCTAGTAATGAATTAAAGAGGCGTGTTATTACTGTAGTTGGTTCTGATGAAAAACGTGCTAGCAGGGTAATCCATGTTGTAATAAAACGAAAATGTGGGATAGGAATCAACTAATTAGATGTCAGACTAATAAATTTTGGTATCAACACATCTATATACCTAAGACGTCTGTATACGAAAGAGTAATTAGGACTTTTGTGCATAAATCCTACTTCTGCTCACCGGAAGTATGAGAAGTGTACCATTACTTATTACCGGAAGTATAGAAAATATACCACTTATTTCTCACCGGAAGTATGAAAAGTGAACCATTTCCTTCTCACCGGAAGTATATCAGTTACTTTTTCTGCCACTTTGATTGATGTAAGATGAAAAGGTGCAATCGGAAGATTGAGGGAGAGTCGTTGTGGGTCAGTTTTTTTTTTATGAATTCT